AAAAAAAAAAAAAAAAAAAAAAAAAAAAAAAAAAAAAATCCAAAGATGACTTACCCCCAATACAAAGAATGGACTAACAATTTTCCAAAGGAAATAATTTTTACAATAATTGTGTAACACATAGCTTATCCCAGACTTATTTTGAATCACAGACTGACTTTTCCCTCCTTTCTCTGCTTGTATTTAGGCCACCTCCCACTACCTCCAAATGAATTGCAGAGAATTCAGGGAAAGCAAATGTCAAATGCCACAAATGATAGGTAAACAACCATGGGGGGTAGGGGGTTAGATACTCTGAATTCCAAAGCCCAGTATACATGACCCTAATTGTTAGTAGTTTAGGAATAATAATTAGAGTGGATAATTAGAAGCTGATTACCAAAGACAAAGATAGACAGACACCAAAATCTTCCCCCAGTTACCATGAGCAAGAAATATAGGGGGTCATCAAGGAAGCTTTGGAATGCCAGCAAGCAGGAACCCTCATCAACTCACTCTTTTCTATCCCAGTCGCTCCAGCCTTAATTTGAAAGCAGACGACGGACTGAGACCAAACTGCAAAACATCCCAGATCACCACAGCCATCATCAGCATCCCCACTCCCCCAGCGCTAACCCCAGAGGGGGAAAGTCGGCCACCCCCTGCCAGCCCAGGCCCCAACACGAACATTCCTTCCATAGCCAGCAATGTTGTCAAGGTCTCCGCCTTGTAAAAACTACTGGACAGAGGGACAGAGAGCATAGCGGGGAGTGAAGGGGGCTGGCATGTTGGTGGGTGGCCACTGGGACCACTCCCTCCCCCTTTCCCCACTATTTCTGCCTCCCCATTGTCACCCCTAGCACTGAGACTTGTGCCTGGAAAGAAAAAGGGGGCACCTGATGTTCATGCCGTTAGCATGGACACAGCCCTGTGATACTGCATCTCACTGGGGCCAGAGGAAGGGAGGGAGGGTGGGGGGTAAGGGGTGGGCCAGTGGGGGGCATAGGATGTGCCAGGACGGGCCTGAAGTAGGGAGCCTCAGACCAAATAACAGTCTTTTCTGGAGATCCCAGTGAGGAAAACACCAGACCAAGAGCAGCGCAGAGGCCGAGCTGTCACATGCAAAACAGGAAGAAAATATAACACTGTGTATTTAAGCACCTTTTTCAAGGCTCTTAATGGATAATATTTATTCATGGGAAAAGGTGGAAAACAAAAACACCAATGGATTTTTGTGAAATGTTTTTCTCCATGGACCCAACATCTTTGAACCAAAACAATGCATTTTGTGAGGGTTGGTTTTTTTTTTTTTTTTCCTTTTATAGCAGAAGCTTTTAGGCTGCGAAGTCAGTTATCGCTGAGTTCTCTCTCCATTCCCCCAGGTGGGTGAGGGCAACTGAGCCTGGGCCCCCACTGCCCAGCTACCTGCACAGAGCTGCTGAGCGACCACACAGCAGTACTTCCCCTCTGTCTGTGCCTGTTTCCTGTGTCTCTGTACCTCTCTGCTTCCCCACTGGCTGTTTCTCTCTGTGTCCAGCCATCTGTCTCTACGTGGATCCCGATGATCCCAAGATTATGTTAGGAAATCTTTCTTCATCACTGCCAAGCACTGCAGACTTGTGCCTGGGAGTTATATTTGTGTGAATGCAGTTGTGGAAGAGAAAACAATGAAGCAAAAATGGGGTTTAGGGGTGAGGGAAGTTCACCTTACAGAACAAAGGTGCTTCCCTTGTGGTTGGAATCGCTGGTGTTTGCAGTTTTGGTTTCTGGGAAAGAGAGGGAATGACCAGATTTATCACACAGGAATCTCAAAAAAGGAAATAGCCAACACCTGAGAAGCAGTCAACTGTAGTGTGTGCCAGTGAGGAGCGAACAGAAGAACCCAGGGCTGCAGTGCAGTTGGCCCCTATGGCACCTTGCTATGTACCCTTCTTTCAGCACCCACCATAAAGACCATCCAGAGCTCTGCCAAGAGGCCCCATGAGCAGTTTCCTCCAGAGGGGCAGTGGTACGGGGACGAAGATTCTTTTGATTTATCTCACGCCTGAGGCAACTCCCACACGGAGGCTGTGGAAGGTTAAGCCTGTGTGCCTCATAAAGGATGCTCCAAAACATGGAAGCAAGTAAGAGATTCTAGATGATTCTTACCTGGTCTGGAAGATGCCTTGAGGTCTGAAGAGTCTTCACGCCTGATCTTCCTGAAGATAGCTGAAATGGGGGAGAAGGCTGATCACCTCCATGCAAGTGAGGGAGTGAAGATTATTTTTCTGAAAACCCGTGCAGCATTTCTGTTTAAGTGGCTTGCACACTGGTGAGGCTGGGAACAGCATTTCTGGAATCTTCCTAACCATTTTCACCACTTACAGCAGAGCAGGTGGGCCTCAGGGTTAATGATAAGCCCTTTCCTACCCTCTCCAATCCCCAGCTACCCTACTGCAGTCTCTGTAGCCTCGGTCCTGAAATACAGGAGCTCCTCATCCATTCTACAGCTTAATGCATAGCTGTTTTTAACTTTAAGCCAAGAATTTCTCTGCCCACCACAGCCATGTGAAGGAGTTTCATTAGCCAGGAATCTAAAAACACCCTCAGTGCACTTCCCTATGAACCCAGCTCAATTGACCCTGCCGATAGGGAAAGTCAAAGAGTTTTGAGGTGGCACCTAACCAGAAAATAGGCAGAAGGGCAGAGGAGAGGGAGCCTTCTTTCTATCTTTATCTCCTTATGCTTATCCTCACTGACCACTGACTGAGTCCTTTCTCTGGGTCTGGCCTCAAGGATGTCCCCCTAATGTGGAAATGGGGTTGTTCTTCCTATGGTCCAAGAACACAGAAAAAGCTTTACTATACAACTGCAGACGAATACGTGTGTATGCATACTCACACCCAACCAACCTAAACATTTCCAAGAATAAGTACTTAAGTCCATTGATTTCATACACACCTCTCATTACAGAAGGCAGAGGACCAGGCTGGACTCCATTTAGAGGGCAGGCAAAGGACTATAAAAGGATTTTTCTCTTGAAAGAATGAGTAATAAAGTTAGGGATGTATAAGTATCTAAGTTATACCTCATTGGAACTGAGTGGGTTAGGGGATAAAGGGTAAATAGAAACATGGTTGCAGACACAAACTGCCTATGTTTAATTTAAGAACAGATCATCACAGGGTTCGAATAATGCCTGATTCAACCAAGGATCTGTTTGATAGTGTACCAAGGGAGCATATTAGTGGTTCCCACAAAAATTAACAAATTTTAAAAATCATCCCAATTTCCCTTGTTTTTCCTTGGCCCTAATGAACTGAATGTCTTATGTACCTTCAATTTGATTTACAAAGCCCACAGCATGTCAGTTTCTAAAAGACCATTAGACCATCCCCTTCATCTCTATTCCCCATTGTAGCCTTAGCCAGGGATAAAGGTCCCAACTCACCTCTGGTCCAAGAGATATCAACCCAGGAAAATGGCTCATTTACACAACAGAATACATCCAGACTACACTGCTAAAGGGTATTTGTAAGTAAATACAAGGTCCAAAATGTACTGAATCAGTTTAATAAATCTAACTCATTGGCTAGTGACTGAAGAACTCAATTTCAGGGTTTTCTGGGGGTCAATGGCTTTCTGGTGCAATAACTCTTGAGCTTTCATAGTTCATAAACCATTTCAGCATAATAGAAAATTCCCAAAACCACTTATCCCATTTAATCTCACTCAGCATGGGGTGGTGGTTTGGGGGAGGGGGGGTAATTCATTTACAAAATGGGTGTGAAGAAAAACATGTATCTCTTAAGAATACAGCTAAAAGATAATTTTAAATAAACAAAAATTAAACTGCTTAATTTGTTAAGATTAAGTTAAACAGGATAAATTTTACTTTCCTGTTTTTGTACTTATAATGCTGTTTTTGTAACTTAAAAATTCAAGATCACCTTTTACACCTCAATCTATTAATATGGTACATGTGAATATATATACTTTCCTTCCAAACCATTACCTGGGCAATTAATTGTATATGTGAAGATTCACTTCTGATTATATTTATCTCAACCGAGAAATCAAATTCATTCTACTGAGGCATGGGGGGGGGGGAGGAGACCTAATAGCAACATTCAAATGTCAAATGAATGGAAACTTAGAAAATACAGTATTAAGAATGTATTAGAGCTAGAAGAGATTAAAGTATATCTTGTTCATTTTACAGTATAGAAAGCTGAGGCCCAGAGAAACTGACTTTTTCAAAGTCATGCAGTCATTTAATGATAGAGCTGGGACCAGAACACACATCCTTTGGCTATTAGTCTAATGCTTTTGCCATTAGACCCACTGCCTCTCAAAGCAATGATGCTTTGGAGAAGACCAACCAAAGAATCCGTGCTATAATGAGAGACGTGGTCTTACGTAAATGTCGATTCTACTTGGACACAGCCCTTGGAAATCACCTGACTATACTAAGACAAACCATTTCAAAACCAACATTGTCTGAGCAGAACCAGCCATGAACTATCAGTTCTGTCAGAAATAGACAAGTAAATAGTCAAGTTTTTTCAGTCAAGTGCTATTGCTTCTCAACGAAGAGACAATTAGAACAGTGACACTTCTCAGCATACCTTTTACAGTCCTTTTGATCCTTACTACAAACTAATTCCTTGATTCAGAAAGGAAAGCAGGCACTAAACAGTTGAGTGACTTATCCAAGTTCACATGGCAAGTTAGTGGCAGTACTATGATCGCAATCCAGGACTTAGACATCTTGTCCTGTGATTTTTCCTACACATCATGTTGCATTACTCTGAAGCTTGCTTGTATTTTTAATACCTGGTGGGAGATGAAGCATTCCTTTCAGAACCACTCTAAAACAGGGCCTCCAGAAGCAAACTCTGTACTATTTCTCCTTTATCTCCTATTTTTATAATGAGTGCCAAGCTCAGGACTAACTGTATAGAATCCCTTTCAGAAGATCGATAGTATCAATGACAGTTGAACACATCAGTCTACGATCACACAGAATTTGAATAGAAATTAAAGTTAACGGTTAATGCTGATCCAAGATTGACAAAGTCAACTCGTGGATATGCCAAGAACTGTATTCAGTTTTCAAAGGATGATCCCTGCAGTTCAGGAACATGTCACTTACTTGTTAGGCAGGGAAAGTGTACATTGAAACATTATGTACCTAGATCTTTTTCCTTTTTAAAAAATTTTGTAGCGGTAGTGAAGTTAGTGGTTGAAATCTAGATAACACTAGATTTTTGAGGTTATTAATGGATTCCAGTAGACGAGCTTCCCTCACTTCAATTACTCGGTAACTATAGGGCAGAAAGATCCCAATGCTGTTAATTTAAGGCAATATTAGTTTCCCTTCTATACTAGTTGGCATGGTAACCATGACAAAATTTATTTTCCCCTTTCTGATTTCCTAAAGAAATATCATTAATTGCAAAGCTTTAAAATGACTGGATGAAGGAAAAACATTGTTATGACCCATGATCCTTGGAGCCCAAATAGTATCATGAAGAGAGCATCCTTAAAACTAAGAGAAAGTGGCTAATCAGAAAATGAAACAGCTTTAAAGGGGTTCTTTTTGAGTCTT